TTAAAGTTGAAACTAATATGAAAGATTTCTATAACAATCTTCACGTCATCTTTTACTTTTAAAAGTGGAAGATGACCAACTCTAATATCAAAACAGTTGTATCAAGATGTGCTTACATACCCTCCCTCTCAAGGGATCAAGCCAATCGTAGTTCTTCAAAACAAGTGGACAATTAGCCATGAGCCTGTATGTTCACCAAACTCCTACAATATGTGAAATTTTGAACTGGTAGTATGTCTGCTAGATTTTCCTTGGCATCTATTTTCTTTAACTAGAAATTTCCTTTAGTAATCAAGTTCAGAACAAAATAGTTCATTATATCAATATAATTGGTAGCAACAGATGACAACCTCTCCAATACCAAGTCTACATTAACTATACTCTTCAGGTACCTCAGAATACTCTTCACAGCTTGTCAATGATTCCTTCCTGGATCATGCATGAACATACTTACAACACCAAATAAAGACTTATCTAATCTGCGAACCAAGTCTTTTGAGGCTCCATACCTAGGCGGTCGTAACATATAGATTTCTTCATGCAATTCCCCATATAAGAATGCAATTTTCAAATAGAGCTACTCTAAAATCATATAATAGTGTTTTACAAGTGCCAAGCGACCATGGGTCAAGGGATGCTTAACCACTTGGGAGAACACTTCATTATAATTAATCCCTTCATGTTGCATAGAGCCTTTTGCCGCCAACCTAGCCTTGTTATGCACATTAGCTCTATGAGATCCTTTCTTCTTTGCACACATGGATTTCCACTCAATGTCTTTTCTTCCTAGAGGAAGCTTTACCAATTTCCAAGTATCATTCTTCTAAAGAGACTCCATTTCTTCATCTATAGCCCTCTTCTATAGATCACCATATGGATTGTCCACTGTTTCCTTATAATGACCTAAAATTTCAACCTTCATGGTTGAAAGTACAAATGTATTATGATCCCTTAACCAAGCTAGTTTTGGAACATTCTGGAACCTGGTTCTGCTCCTAGCAATAGATTCTTCTATGGGAACCTCATTCTCAATATCATCTTCAACCTCTCTCACCTCCTAATCTATAGTTGAATCAAGTACCCTGATAGAAGTGATATGTTTCTGTGGAACAAATGAAGTTGCATTAAACACCAACTTCTCCAATGCATCAGCGGTCTTAATAAAACTCTCCACCTACTTTGAGTCTCTAGGCATCAATAAACTCGCTTTGTTAAATGTAATATTCTCACTAATGATAATTTTATTCTCTCTCTGGTCGTAGAGTTTTAAGCCTCTAACTACATACCTGAAATAGATAAAGATTGCTTTTTATACTCTTGGTTCTAGTTTATCATTCTAAACATGATATAAAGCTAGACACCTAACAGTCTAAGCTTTAAGATGATGTCCCAACCACATCTCATTTTGGGTCTTCGTCCCAATAGGTGCATAAGCCAGATGGCTGACCAAGTGATAGACATAGTCTATAACATCAACCAAATAGACTCTATCCAACCTACTATTGGATAATACTCACCAAACTTTCTCTAACAAGTTTAATTTATCCTCTCTACCACCCCATTTTATTATGATGTCTCTCAAACGGTGAAGTGGTGCTTAATCCTAAATCTCTCGCACTATTGGAAGAATGCATCCAAAGTGTATCACCCCCATTGTCTAGTCTAATATTATGGATCATTTTATCGGTCAAAGTCTCAGTTAACTTCTTCCAAGTTCTAAGAATATCCAATACCTTGTTCGTACAACTTATGGTGTACACTCAAATTGTAACACCATAAATTCTTAACTATAGAGATATTGTCTGCTTTGACCTAAGGGCCTTACAATTTTATCATGTTGGTGTAACTTCCCAGGCGATCACCAATCCCAAAATTTTTACAGATCAAATGAGCATGCTTATATGTGCAGTTTCTTAATAAAATTCTAACCATCACACCAAAAGGCCCCTAGATATTTAAGAGTTTATCTTCTTTTACTTAAGGAGCTTCATAATCTCTCCCACTTAAGTAACTGGCGTCCTCATCAACATCTTTATCCTAGAATCATCCACTAGGCACATAGGATTCTAGAGATAAACCCTATAAGTTTAAGTGGCGACTCTCGTCATGTAGCACTTTATCCCATACAAGATTCAAGAGGTGGCACCCATGGCATAACACTTTGTATTCTATGATAGTTAGTTCTTATCTTCCAGCTAGTGTATTGCTTTGATACCATTGTAGCACCCCAAATGCTTAACTATCGAGTTGTTATCTTCTTTAGTTGAAGGGCCTCATTATTTTGTCCTATTGATGTAACTTCTCAGAAGGTTATCCATCTCAGGATTTCTCTGGGATGAGCATGCTTAGTAGTAAAGTCTGTTAATAAAATTTTAACAATTAGACTAAAAGGCATCTTGATGTTTGAGAGTTTATCATCTTTTACTTAAGGGATTTTATACAAAAATATTTGAAGTAATCATCAATAAAAGAGATAAAATATCTATGCTCGCCGAATGATGTTGTCTTTATCGGGCCCTAAATATTTATATGAACATACTCAAAAATACCATTTGTATTATAGATAACAATACCAAAGGATACCCATGTCTTCTTTCTAAACACACAATATTCATTGAAATTTAGCTTACATGTGCTCGTTCCTTTGATCAATCTTTGTTTTCCCACCAAATACATAAGTGAAGCTTCTCCAGCATGAGCTAACCTCATATATCATAATGTAGTGGCATTCTAAGAATCATCACTATTATTTAAAAAATATAAATAAATAAACTCATTCAAAGGTAAGAAATTAAATCAATTTTTTTATCTAATATTTAACAAATAATTTAATTATATTTTTAGTTTAATCAATTTTACAAAAGTAAGAAATTAAATCAATAATCAAACCGATACTTCAACAACCGATACCAACCAAGATTAATTCTTTTCTTTTTTGGTTCCAAAAGTTCTATCCCACCATATGGCTATTGTGCAAATTATTTTGTGCACACACCGGACACAAGCTTGCATCCAGATTGCTACGTTTTTACTGTGCTTTTGATGTATTTTTATAAAATGGTAGCTAATACACAATTTTAATTGCATATTAGCTGCCCTTTTGTTGTTCTTTTACTGAGTATTTGAAAAGCGCAGCAAAATGACAGCAAATACTCAATGAGTAAAATATTTGCTGCACTTTTGGAATATATTTGTAAATACTCAATAAAAGGTTAGCTAATATGCAATTAAAATTGTGTTAACTACCCTTTTGCAAAAATACATCAAAAATGCAGTAAAAGCATAGTAAAAGCGCAGCAATCCGATCGCAAGCTTCCATCCAGTGTGCGCACAGAATAATTTGCCTGGCTATTGCCGTTGCAACAAGTTCATGTATTAGACAACAATTAGTACAATCAAATATCAATGTTCATTCTAGTACAATCAAATACATTAGTCGAAAGATGGAAGATTTTTAGTTTCACCTAATATCATGCACTAAAATAGTGACACAATAAAGCAATAATTACAAAACTTACCCAATAATTCATTATAAAAAGTTGGAAAGCATAAAATGCCTATATGACAGCTATATGTTGCATGAACCACATAATCCTAATCATACCAATGACTCTACTATCACTTGTTAGAGATTATATATCAAGTTAAGTAAGAATAATTGGGTTTAGTCCTCATATTGAATATATAAAAATATATATGTGCATAAAAATATATAGTGATTGACCTTCTATCATCCACATAAATTTTTGAGTTGAACATTAGTTTGAATAGTGATGTATTAGGCCCAACTTTGCCCTCCATCGATGCCATATTCTTTAACAAGTAGTATCATAATTGAAATTTCAATGAGTTTGAATAGCAAGTTGTTTGCAACTCTCATGAAACTGTGATGCCTTTTATTATGGTTGAATAATGTTTAAGAATGAGTGACTACCTATAATGGTTCCACATAACTGAGTAGGTGTAACAACCCAAACTCTTAACTATCGAGATATTGATTTTGAAATCCCTTAAGTAAAAGAAGCTAAACTCTTAAACATCAAGACGTCTTTTGGTGTAATGGTTAGAATTTCATTAAGAAATTCTAGTTAAGCACGATCATCTCAAAAAAATCCTAAAATGTGTGACATCCTGGGAAGTTACTCCAATAGGACAAAATTGTGAGGCCTTAAGCCAAAATAGACAATATCTCGATAGTTAAAAGTTTTGATTGTTACAAATGGTATTAGAGAAATATACTAGTCAAAATATAAGAATTAAGTGACATACAAGATAAAATGATACACCATGGGAGCCACATCTTCAACCCTCTATGAGATAAAGTGCTATATGGAAGGAATCACCATTTGAACTTGTAGTGGCCACCTCTAAAATTTTGTATGTGGTAGATGATTCTGGGATAAGGATACTATTGAGGATGTCATTTAGTTAAGTAAAAGAAGCTAAACTTTTAAATATTAAGACACTTCTTAGTGTAATGGTTAGAATTTCATTCAGAAACTCTACAATTAAGCGTGCTTATCCTGGAAAAATCCTAGGATGGGTGACCTCCTGGAAAGTTATACCAACAGGATAAAATCGTGAGGCCCTTAGGCCAAAGTGGATAATATCTCTAAAGTTAAGAGTTTGAACTGTTATAATAGGCACTTGGAGTAAGGTATTTGAAGATATCAAAAATATTTTCATTTGATTGTTACTAATAAACAAAATATAGAGCTCTCACTTGAGAGGAAGATTGTTAAGATGTTAAAATAAAGAACTTCATCCCACTTCACAATAGTGAAAATATCCAATAAAGAAATACTAATTGATTGATCCTTGCTCGTAGGCTTAAACTTTTGAGTAGGAAATGAATTTAACTACAATTGTATTGAGCTTAACTTGTTTGGGAAAAATATCTAAATTTTATATTCAATAACATCAAACATAAGCAAATGCAATGAACATACTAAATTATACTAGCAAATATAAGAATCATAAATTATTACCAAGATTTATCTAGTCCTATTTATAACAAGTCCATGTGTACAAAAGTGGATAAAATATTTGATTCATTATAAAGAGTCCAACAAGCCACACAAGTGCATAAAATAGAGTTTGATATGCTGTTGTTCAAATCATTCACTCTAAAAACTTGAAACTACATACAAAAGCAACCACTTAATATTTTTTCCATTAATATTATTTTAATTATCAGTTGTGAGATTAACTCACCCTTAACTTCCACCTAGAGATGTCGTTGGAAACCCGATCTGCAGAGTGGGTTCAAACTCCAAAGGGTGGTAGAAGTCATCTCCTTGCAGCTGATCTGGTCGTCGGTCGTACCCTAATGTTTGAGATATATTTGGATCCCAAAATTGCTGTGTGCTAACTTGAGTGATCTCCTCCAACTGCACTCAAGATACAACAAAGAAATTCAAGAACATAAACGTGAAATTTGTAACAAGATTTAAAAATATTAAAATAACTTTGTTGAAAACTTCTTGTAATTTATCTCTTAAATTAAAAAAAGGCCATTGACTTTTATTATGAGCTCATGTATAATTGATCATCCATATAATTTCATTTTATTTGCAAGAAAAATGTTCATAATTAGAAGCTTCGATTATAACTAAATTAAACTCAAAACTATTACCCTCTCAACAAATAACTCAAATCATCCCAAGCTGCCCCAGCATTGTTGGAAAAAATCATGATCAATTGCAAAGTCAGATAAGATAGAGTATTCAGGGGTTCGTAGCCTTTTTTGAATTATATATATATAATTTGATATTTCTGATAATAAAATTTAATTTATGCCTATTTTATTTACTAAAATTAAATAATGAGCTTCATTAGTCACTAAATGGTGGCAAGCCAAAAAAGGTTGATTAGTAATACTTTTTTGTTGATCACACTCAAGTCACTCTTGAATGCTTGGATAGTGTGTAACCTAAGACTTCATAATTGGGCTACAACCAAGACATTCACCTAATGTAACATCAAAATCTGCTCCAGGATCGTCCGGGCCGATCTGGATCGTCCCGGGACGATCAGTGCAATTTTTGTTCCAGATTCTGTACAGAAGTTCCAGGAATGATTTCCTGTAGGGATCGTCCAGGCCGATCTAAGATCGTCCCGGGACGATCAGTGGATGGCACAAGTCAGAGAGCAAGGGGTTTTTGAAAATTAATTATCGTCCTGGAAATCCGTCCTAGCCGATATGGATTTTTCAGATCGTCCAGGACGATCGTGCGATCGGCCGGGCGATCAGAGCACTTTAAAGCTGAAATCAAGTCATTTTGAAGAGAGAGAAAATCATAAAAATATCTAAAATCAGTCGAGGAGAGAGAAGGTCGAGGGCAAATTTGGGAAAAGCTGATTTTCGGGCGAGCCGGTGCCGTTTTCGTCCGACGAGATTGTTCAAGATATTGCTGTACGCAAGATAAGGCACAATCCGCCTTTCTAATTTTTCAGAACCTCCGTGTTTGGGGTATTATCTGTCCGGAATTGATTTTTGTTAGTGATTTTCGTCCGTATTTCCCGTCTGGTTCAGTTTTTACCGCGTAATTTTCTCGTATGTGTTTGTTGACGTGCCGAGTGTGCAACATTTGGTTATTTTCTGGAGATTTTTGTCCGGGTATTTTTTGAATTCGGCGGTGTTTATTTCGACTGTATTTTTCTAAGACGTCTAAAAATGTGTTGTAGCAGTAGAATTAAAGTCTTGCAATGTTGTTATCTTTTATATTATGTGCAAATTTGGTATTTGTCTGTGTTTTTCAGAAAAATTGTGTTAAATTTCGTATACTCAGCGTTGTGCTGCCGTACTTTTTGTCTGATTTCTGAATTCGTCCGGATTTCTTCTGAATTGATATGCTATCTGTATATGCTATATAAAGGGAGTTATAAGGGGCCTGGATCCTAAGAGATTCAGTTAGTGTCTGGGCTATATAAAGGGAGTTATAAGGGGCCTGGATCCTAAGAGATTCAGTTAGTGTCTGGGAAATCTGAAATGAGCTCAATCTGAAATCTGATATCTGTTCTGTTCCGGATCCGATGAGAATTCTGTTCTGGTGAATATAAGCACATCTGTTCTGGTGCTCGTGAGCACAAAGGGAGGCATAAGGGGCCAGCAATCCGTTAGATCTTCGTCGTTCGAGGGAATAGATTTGACGTCTATATTGACATTACAGTTATGAGTCTAAAAGCATATCCTGCCTATAAGCACATCTATGTTTGGTGCCGTGAGCCACAAAGGAGGCATAAGTTATTTGGTTCCAGTTTTGCAAATTTCTTCTTGTTTATAGAGATCTATCACGTGTCAGAGCATTTAGCTATAATTTACAATACTATCTGTTCTGATTTGATAGATTTGATATATGTCCGTATCTTGTTCTGAATTATGATCTGCTTTCGTTTGCATCTGCACGATTTTGATATCTGTTCGATTCTGTTTCTGGTTTCTGTACGGATTTGGTTGCAAGTGGTCTGGTTTTGGATTCTGGAAGTTTGTTTGGATAGGTCTCAATGTCGCTTTTTGCCTTGCGTTGTTGAGCTTACCCTTGTTTTCTGCGTGTGTTTTCAGGTTCTGGCAAAGGGAATAAGGTATTGGATTAAGATGTCTGAGCTCTGATCAGTTATAGGTATATTTTGTACTTTTTGATTTTTGTACATAGTCATACTTCTTTTCTTCTTTGTTCTTTCTGTCAGTCATGTACTGTATTTGTTGATGATTGTTTTGAGGAAGAGAAAAATATAGATGATTTGTTCCGCTGCATTTTGATGTTTCATAGTAGCTCTGTGCGTCTGTTTTGTAGTTGAAATATTTGGAAGAAACAGTTCCGAAGCAAATTCAAAGCCAGATCCTGGATCTGTTTGTTTGGCTGGTCGCGGCCCGGTGCGGGCGGGATCCGTCCCGATCGGGTCGGGTCGTGACACCTAACCTGAAACTACTTGATTGGACCATCATGCAAGCCTAAGTTACTATGAAAAATCTTGACATCTGTGGAAGATTTGGCTCCTATTCAAGCAGCATGAGGTGAGTGCAACAAAAGTAATGATAGGATTGTTAAATCTTAAATGACAGTTCTTTGTGAACAAAAAACAAAATGAAATTTATCATGAAAGGAACATTATCCAACTAGCTCATCTCTCCAAAAGTTATCATGACTGAGGAAAATATTTATAAAATAAGGTCCTATGAAAAAGACTCTACTGGTTTCCCATATGATAGATCCCATACAAATCTTAAACATCAAAATTTGGATTTTTTTTTTAATAATAAAAATCCACCAACGGGTCTACGTGTTAATTCATAAAATAAAAATTTTAGAAGTCTTTAAAGAAATCATCTGCTCGATAATGCACAAAGAGCTACATTTAAAAATCAAAAGAAACGTAAAGAGTCAGTAATCCCTATATTCTTGGAAATAGTTATAAATTGATTCATTTTTCATGGTAGAAATTAATTCTATGGAGCATTTATACTATTTTGCAAATTTAGTTCATCAAAGAGCACTTACTCTTGTCCTCAGTGATTTATTAGTCTCAAAAAGTAATAGTTCCTGCAAAGAAAGAAATAAGATGCAGTGTTATTCATCATCATTGAAAACAAAAACTGAAATAAATTACAGAATTCTATATCAAAGCATACCCTTTGTTGAAGGTCGCAAAGTTGATCGAGCATATATTGCATCTGTTTTCAAGTTATAAGAATTTTAGTAGTATAAATCATTAAGGGTCGATAAATATAGCGGGCTATTAGATTTAGTTAATAGATTATAATAGGTCTTATTAGTCATAGGTTTCTAATAAATATTACTGTATGTATTTAACAGATAGCTTGAGTGATGATAGTGTAAAATATATTACTAATCAGTCCTACGATATCACTACCAAAAAACAGGATTTTATGCAGCAGTTGTCAGGAGAGGTTTTTAGAATTGATGCCAAAACCTTGATTTAGCACCGGATTTGTCTTCCTCAACGCTCACGAAACCGCCGCGTAATGTTATTGTAACACATTGCAATAACAACGGGCGTGCAATGGTTTTAAAACCTTTGTAAGAAAATTTGTGGCGGGTAATACCATCGGAAAAATGTCTAATTTTGTGCTGCGATAGCCCTATTTTTTGATAGTGTATGCAGCTCTATACGAACTTTCTATCAAGGAGTATTATATAATTAATCAATCAAAGAGTAAAAATTAAGTCTCATTTTCTTTGTTGTCCTCTTGTTCTTCTCCTCCGATCCCCATTTTCTAGAGCCTCCTTGTTGAGAAGGGGAAGAAGTAGAACTCCACAAACGGGCCGGGGTTGTTAATTTCATAAATTTATTTCAAGGTACTCTCATAGTGTAAGTATGTATAGAACTAAAAGTTACCATAAGGCGCATAGTAACTTATCAAACACTATAAAATTCATTACAAGCATATGACTACTACTATAATTTATTGACTTAGGATCTGCTTGAGATATCTATAGTTTTTTGATAAAGATGATTATAAAGCTGCTTTGAAGAAAATAATTTTTTTGAAAATTGAAAAATAGCTTCATAACATAAAAATTTATTTAAAGTAGTGAAAAAATAGTGACCAAACAAAAATTATGATTGTGATATAAAAATCAAAATGATAAGAAAGTTATCCCAAATGAAGCTTTTAATCTAATTGATTTTAACATTTTATGTGTATAATTATATTAACTTTTTCAAAGGACAAAAACAAATGTTACCCTTGTTGATCTTATCTGCTTAAGAGATGCTTCCAACTGATGTTCCAGCTTGTCGAGATCCTTGGCACCAAGGGGACTAAGGTCCTCGCCCATAAGATTTCTAGAATTTCAAATAAATTAGTATAAGATTATAATGACTGATTTTATGGAAACAGGTGATTAATGACTTAATGTGCATATAGAGAAATGATAACAAAAATAAGATGGTGCAATCACTTTGAAAATGCTTCACCTCTGGGATCTTTGTAAAGCTTCAACTTGTGCTTTGAGTTTTAAGTACTCAGCTTGACTACTCTGCATCCAATGAAAAAGGGTAAATGATATGTGTGAAAATTATAGGCCGAGAAGTCGAAAATATACCCACAAAATCATGTAAATATTCAATATTTTTCGCTATTGAATAAAATGGGTGATCAAACAGATTACCCTGAAGCTAATAACTCTTTATCTGCAAGAGCTTTGTCCAGTTACATTTAGAACAAGAGTTCAATCATCTAGTACTTATGAGCAGTTAAATGAGCTCGCAAACGGGTAACCGTCACAACTTATTAAGCACTCAAATATTTCACCATAATTGTACTGGTTGTAGCCTTCTTATGTACAACAAAGTACAAAGAATACAACAAAAAGATTTCAACCCACTACATTGCAATTAGTTAGAAGATTATTACTATATTCTAAATAATGGAATAATGGAATAATCTCAACTTTATTCTCTCCATAAAATTTTAAGTGTTGAATCCTCTCATCCTTTTCTTCTCTCTATGGAATTCTAAGTAGTGGATTATCTCATCATTGTATTCCCTATATGGAGTTTGAAATAGTGAAACTGCCACATCATTTGATTCTGCGACATTCTCGTTGTGAAATTCTAAAAATGAAATGATCTTATCATGATAGTTGACATTTTCTCTATACCATTTGCATCAAAATTATCTCATCATGCAATATTCTCTTTTAACCCAATTATTTCTCTATCTCCATGTAGCAAATGTCAATGGCACCCCCCAAGGCTAATTATTATATCTATACTAAAAATTAAAATTTGATAGTCCAATAATATATATATATATATAATGCAAATGTGATGAGAGATTAGGAGAAATTTCAGATTTTATTTTAATTTAAGTTAAAATTAGTAGAGTTAGAAACATGAATGGTTTTGTGGCCTAGATGGTAACAATATTTAACGGAATTGGAAAGTTATGGCTTTGAATCCAAGAGATGCTGCCTTTGTTGTGGGCTTTATTGTTAAGATATTTTGGTTTATAGACCGATGAAGGCTGATGACTCTAGGGCCCCAACTGTGCCTCAACCTGTGTGAGGCCTGATTACATATAATCGTAATGCAAGAGAAAAAGAGAGCATTCAAATCATCATGCAGACACAAGTCCAAAGGATAATAAAGAGCAAAAATATTTATGTTCATTGATTCAAATAATCAGTTAGAGAATTTTCAAGTTATCTCACATTGGATAACTCTATTCTTCACTAATATCCATATAATAATCAAAAGCTATTCGATTAACAACAAAATTTTGTACATTTTCATTTACAAGTCTTTTTCAATGAGGGTAAGAACAGTAGTAAAACTTATAAAGCTTGCTACTTTGGAATGATTAAACCATAATGATTTGAAAAGCAGCGAAAGAAGAAAGAATTAGATCGAAATATGGAAGAAAACAGTAAACTAATGGAGAAAATCATGAGCGAGAACTAGTCAGTATGATAAAAGCCTATAACTTGAAGTGGACATCTAAACTGTAAAATCAACATGCATCAAATTTTAAGCACAAAGCTCGGCTTGTTCCCTCAAATGCCAAGCAATGATTTAATGGAACTCCTGATTTTGGGGGTTTTTGGTAGGAAGTAAAGTGAGTGTAAAGTAAGTAAATACACGAGTTTTGAGAAGTTTGAGGTTTGGTAGGATGAAAAGAAACTACAAGGTAAAGTGAATGCAGTGTATTTCATTCTAGTTCATTTTTTAGATAATCCCATGAGCGAGAACCGTTTACACTGCTCCAAAACATGTTTGAGCACTCCCAATGCCCACCATCTCCACCACCACCCTGTTGCCTGCCTCCACAGTCTATGGTTGCCGCCTGCCCACCGCCGGCCCCCAGCAGCCGTCACCCGCTGTGATGCCCAAGAATGTTATTTGGAAGAATTATTTTTTTAATCTTTAACTCAAATCTTTGTTAGATGAAATGATAAGGGAAGGCTTTTTAAGACGTTTTGTTTTAGTAACATAATATATTTTATAATAAAATAATATATAATATTAATATAATATTTAATGTAATCAATTCTTTGGTATAAAATTCAAATAAATTATTTTAGGACCTCAAATATTGTAAAAAAATATCCATAATATAAATCATTTATTTTAAAAATAACACAGAAATCGGTTTGTAAAACGGATACCTAACGGTCCCGAAATCCTCACTTGTACATATAGGTATTAATTCCTTAAGGATTTTCACTGGTGCTAAAAAATTATGAAAAAAATCATTTAACTAAAATACTACAATCAAAATACTATGACGAAGACGGTTTACAATTTGAAGTTATAATGACTCTAGAAAAAAATTAACAAAATTAAAATACGGGTTATTACAATCTATCTACCTTCAGAAAAATATCATCCCCGACATTTCCCTAAAGAATTTGGGCACAAAATCGATATAAACATAATTCATACAATAAAAAATCAAATCAAATAAAAAATCATCAAAAACCATACACTCATTTAATTCATTATATCACATGTAATTCAATTTTGCAAGCAAACTAATGCACCTTAATCTATCCAATCTACCTAACTCTCAATCAAATCCTAAGAGCTCTAGTAGCATCAATTTTTCCAACATCTAAGCTCAAATATCAATTGTTATGACTTTAGAATCTAATTTTAGAAGAATTAATCTTTTAATCTTAACTCAAATCTCTATTAGGTGAAATGATAATGGAAGGCTTTTAAAAACTTTTTGTTTTAGTGACATAAGAAATTTTGTAATAAATAATATATAATATTAATATAATATTTAATTTAATTAACTTCTTAGTATAAAATTCAAATAAATCATTTTAGGACTTCAAAAATTACAGAAAATATTAATAACATAAATCATTATATTTAAAAAAATATCTATGAAATCAATTTGCGAAACAGACACCTAATGGTCCCGAATTAATCCTCATTTGTACCATATGATACTAATCCTTCAGGATTTTAACAGGTGCTCCAAAAAATACAAAAAAAATCGTGTAAGTAAAATTCAAAAAATCAAAAATACTATGATGAAGACGGTTTACAATTTAAAGTTATAATGACTTTAGAAAAAATTGGCAAAATAAAAATATGTGTTAGTACACCCGCCACCACCCACTGTCGACCACTGTTGCTACCGTCATCGGCCGACCCTGCCTCCACCATCTGCCATCGCCTACCACCGGCCGCACCATCGCCCTTGCCCAACACCATGGGCTGCCATTGGGCTCCCACTCCCGCCCTCAAACACCGGCCGCCTGCCATGTTGACCACCCCCGGGTTTTTTAGCTTTATATTGCAGTTCACTACTTTATTTCAAACCAAACAAAAAAAAGTAAAACCATGCATTCTTTTTTCACTCATCCAAAAAAACTCTAAATTATTCTTTTTTAGGGCAATCAAACAACCCTTGGTAACATACGTGAAACTGTGCAAACGTTAATATTGCATAAAAAAGTGGATATATATATATATAGAGAGAGAGAGAGAGAGAAGAGAGAGAGAGAGACGAGAGAGAGAGAGAGATGTTTGTGTATATAATGGTAATATTATCTGGATTTCGAAAAACCCTTAGAGCTTTGTACAAAGAGTAAAGCAATACTATTTGAATCCCAATTAAGAAGCAAAGCTTAGCCTACCTTAAAAAAATAAATAAATTAATTAAATAAATTAAATAATTATAGTATTTTTATATTTTGATGACTTTATCTACGTGGGGAGTAATGAAGAAATGCCCAAATGTTTAAGAATTAAGAGAATAAACAATAAAAGAACAAAAGATAAGTGATGAGATTATTGCATTGTTTTTTTAACAAAAGCCTTGCAAATTAAAGAGAATAGGGAAGGCGCATTTAGAGAATATGTTAAAGGGATTCAAAATGTATGGATGTGACACTGTAGCAACATTTTTGATGTCAAATAAGAAGATGCAAACATCTACCTTTTTAGCTTTATCAATTTTTTACGAAACTTTATTTTGGCCAATTCGATATATCCATTTGGATGAACCAAAATATAATTAACTTCAATAATGAATTAATTATTTTTAACTTAAATAATATATATTAAGAAGAATACTTAATTTTTTATTTTTTTATGTGAAATTAATAATATCTAGACTGATATTAATGTAATTTGTTTATTTGCATGATTTTATTGGTTTAATATTAAAAAAATAATATAGTTCAGTTTTTATTTGATCAACTTAACAGAGGTAAAAATCAAATAAAAAAAATTAAAAATTACAACCAATAATCAAATCATTATTTTAACAACTTGATCAAATCAATTAAATACCATCGGTTTGATTTAATTTATTTATTTTATAGATACATACTACAGATAGAATTACACAATATTAAAGTTGCAAAGATTTTTAGAAGATATTAGGAACAACAGCATCATATTGTGCAAATATATTATCCTTGACAATAATGTGTGGGTCATACGTATTTAAATCAAATATCATTTGATTCATGAAGTCGTTGAAGAGGGAAAGATTTTCGTTTAGCATGCCAAGACTAAAGAATAGGGCTATAAAAGAACCAAAATTGAGCCGAGCCTCGGTATGTTCAAGTTCTAGCTCATTTGCCAAGTCAGTGTTTGAGCTCGGCTCGTTAAGATTTGAGCTTTTTATATACCCGTTCGAGCTCGAGCTCGAGCTTGTTTAAACATTTACCCTGTTCTAGCTCAACTTGTGTTCATGTTCAAGTTCAATTCATTTTAAGTTCGTCCAAATGGAGGACCCCTATTTTGAGGGGCTCGTTTGACGAGCCGAGTCTTTTAATAGGCCATTCGTTTAATAAAATAGGCTTTACTTTCCTTTCAATCAAGAAGCTTGTCAACTCGTTAGAACCGTCTGCCGCCAGGCATTGCGACCCGTTTATCAAAAAGAATTTCAAGATAGACCGGACCCAACTTGTGTCATTCGCCAGGTTTTAAATGATTTCCTTATACGTTTGTTTATATACAACAAAACCAACATGTGATGCACGGTGTGGGACTAAATGAACACTCAAACAAT